ACAGATTTTCCTATTTTCAATTATTTATGATTAGTCTCTTTAGTTCACTAAAATTTAATTATTGTTTAATAACTGTGCCTCTACTGTCTGTTCATCTAATATGAAAAATTAGCAATGCTCATCTAATTTGCATAATACATTATGCAAAACACACCCTATATAAGCTCTGATTTACTCAGAAGTAACCTTTATATTTAGCTTTATTCTGTTAGGCTGAAATCTTAGTAAAAGAACTAAGCAATGTGAGTTTTACTCTTTAATAAATATACAGAAACGTTTCTTTCATTTGGAGACTTTCCTAACCATAAAATAAAACGATGAAGTATGACTAAGAAATAGAAGTGTAATACTGCATGTTTTTGTTCGTTTCTTTAAAAATGTTATATGGCCTCCAAATCGAACAACATGACTCTGGATGGCTTAAGACAACCAAAATAAAACAATTAACAGTAATAGTAGTAATCAATAATATATGATCTGGCTCTTCCTGCAGATCATGATCCTAACTCTTTGAGACATAACCATATTGTAAAGCCTTTTTAAAGATCAATAGGGTCAGAACCAAATGAACTATTTCTAGCTATTTCCTATTACTACTAATAACTATTTGAAATAGAACAGAACCAAATCAAATCTTTATTGCAGTCAATGTCCAGGCCATAAACTATTTAACATGTGTTGCACTAAATTCAGTTGAAAATTTAAAAATCAGGGCGAGGACCATACTATCTATTCTCTATTCCGTATAGCAAATTCCAAATTAAAGTATACCCAAGAGATGACTATTAACATCTGTTTGGTAACAGGCAGAGGATTAGAAATCCATTACCCACCATATTAGTTCAATCATCTGATTTACTACATTTATCCTAATACTCACTGCACAATCTGCTGTCCTCTAACTTATTACCATTAAATTAAGTCTTGCCATTCTTGCAGTAGAAAAAATAATGGTCTCTTTTCTATGGCAGTCATTTGACAAGTGCTGTCACATATCTTTTTTGCCATTCAAATCATCTTATGGCTAAATGTATCCAATTCTTTCAAATGTTTATAGACCTTGTTTTCAGGATGATTACTCATCTTTTGAATCTATTCGAATTTATTTTGAATCATAGGGCCCAGAATGTCTCAGAACAGCTTTATTATGTAATGAGTTATAAACTTTTAATAAAACCCATAATTTATTTTTTTCATATATGAAGAGTACTTAAATCACTACCGTAAGGAACAAATAAAAAGAAAATGATCTGTAGCAATGTATGAAAATGCTATTACTCCTCACTGCTCAGCTTTACAATAACTATAAATTACAATGAGTCCTGCATCCTCTGAAACTGCATTTCAAAGATGAATCAAACTACTTTACTTGAAATAGGCAGCACTGTACATTCAGAGCTAGGTATTTCCTGCTGGATCATACTAAAGCTGTACTTAGCGTGATGACAAGAATAGTTCTCGTTTTAGAGAACTAAGAATACACAAAAATGCAGGCCTAATGCAGACTAAGCCCCACAATGCCCTTAATGCTACCTCTGTCTCATTTTGGAGCACTGGTAGCAAGGAGATGGGCATATATACACACACGTCATATGGGCTTAAACAGATATCCATTAAGCAGCTTTTGGATATCATGACCAGAGATTATAGGGCATAATTCAAACCAGCTAGAGAGCATCTTATTGGAAGAAGCTGCACTAATACTAGTCCTCCAATATTCTTCATTATTCTCTTTCGCCTCTCCAAACACAAACTACGTATCTATAGAGATATTAATATAGATATAAACAGTGATTCAAATTTATATTCAGAGACACATAACAATGTATTCTATGAGCTACAGTTCCCATAGGATGGCTATGCAAGCTGCACACTTCCCTGGGTAGTTTTGAAAATATGTAGAGAAAATATTTTTTTCCCTGAAAATCTTAACAAATGTACCAAAGAGCATATACATCCCAAATGAAAGCCCAGAACTTTCAGATCCTGCTTCCCTTTCTTTGCATGATAGCATCTTCTCACTGTATGCAATTTAACCATTAAAATTTAATATTAAATATAAAGTCCTAAATAGAAAATAATATCTGCTTATCTGCAGATCCACTTATGAGCAGAAACTCATTAATAATGTTGACAGGTAATCCTCCACTTACAACCATTCAAAGTTTATTTATTTATTTATTTTAACTTTATTTATAAAATTTATTGGCCACCCATCTTGTCTCAGGGTAACTCTGAGCCACTTACAATCATAAAAAATAAAAACTGTACAAAGATGAAAGCATAAAAATACTACACAGAGCCAAAAACAGCGGCCCAATTAAAAGATGAGTAGGGAGGAAACAGAATGGGAGGAGAGATGGTATCTGATGTGATGCTCTCCCATTGAAGCCCCCCAAGTCAACTTGCAGAGTCAGTTCTTTAGGCTCTTATAGAAGGTTGGGAGGGTTGGGCCAACTTCACTTCAGGGGCAAGATGTTACAACAGCACTGAAAAAAGTGACTTATGACTGGTTGTCACACCTTACAACTGTTGCAGCATCCCCATGGTCACATGATCCAAATTTGCACATTTGGAAGCTGGCATGTATTTGGGACAGTTGCACTATCCTAGGGTCATGTGATCACCATTTGAAACCTTCACAGCCAGTTTCTGACAAGCTAAATCAGTGGGGGAAGCCAGATTCACTTAACGACTGTCTGATTCATTTAACAACTGCAGTGATTCTCTTAACAACTGTGGCATAAATGTTGTAAAATGGGGAAAAACTCACTTAACAACTGCCTTGCTTAGCAATGGAAATTTTGGACTCGATTGTGGTCATTAGTCAAGGAGTACCTGTATACTTTCCAACCCAATAGATAATGTGAAAGAATAAAGAGGCTGGGACTTTACTTATTAGCATGACAATTATTTTATAACAAAGTAGAATGGGACCAAATTTAGAATGGGGGAAGAAGCACCAAAAGAATGATTAAGTTTGAAATTGAGTAGAATCCTGATGGTGGCAGAAGAAAATAATATCCATGTATGCTATTGTATTCATGGAGCAGTATTTCTTAACTTTGGCAACTTTAAGATATGTGGATTTCAATTCTCAGAATGCTGGCTGGGGAATTCTGGGAACTGAAGTCCACACATCTTAAAATTGCCAAGGTTGAGGAATCTGCTCTAGAGGTGAAGTTGGTAACAGCTCAGAATGTTGCCCAAATCTTCATTCTGAGCCTCTCCTCCTCCCTCCCAGGTGCATGACCTTATAGAGCTGTTATTAAGGGATTAAAAAGAATTCAAGAAACCATATTCTGTGTGCTTTTTAAAAACCCAGTTCTATAGATTTTTTATGCATGACTAATCTGATGCCCTGAGTCAAGTCCCCTTTGACTCCAGTACTAGATGATATTCACTCCAATAATAAGCCTGTTTGTGTGCATCTATTTGAACCAGTTCAGTGCTTTTCTTGTTTGCAAATGAATATTTATGAATGGTTATATAACATCCCATGTACAAAAATGTCCAGATCAAACACAGACACGCTTCTACTTCAAACAGCTCGTTATTATATTTTATTTTTAGTTAGTACTCAGTAATAATTTATTGACCCTGTGTATTTATTTTGAAGAAAATGTCTATGACTCAAAATCATTATGATTTTAAAAACAGTTTTCCCAGTATGGTTCAGAAGCTTTGAGACTACAGTGAAGCAGCTTTCAGCTATGAAACCACATTAAATTAATCATCTTCTAGCATATTTTCAGAATAAAACCATGACATTGAATGCTATGAATACCCTTTATTACCCAATACAACATTAGGCCATTAGCAATCTATAGTTAGTAAAGTTAAAAACATATATTTTACCCAATTAACAAGTACCTACTATTATTTATTCAATTATTATGCTGTCCAACTGTCCAGAGAAAAGTATGGATGCTTTTCAAAGAGGGCACTGTATACTGGAGTTCACCTAACAACTTTCCCCTAAAATGTGACCACAAAATTCTTTACGGATAGGTCTAAAATGTATGCAGGGCAATGTTTCCTTGTAAGGTTAGGGAAGAGATAAGGAGCTTCTAATCTAGAGCATGACACATCAAGTGTCATTTCTAACTTTCCTTCCAGAGCAATCAGTTGTAGCACTTCTCTGAAAGACAGCATGCATGTAGTTGGAAGGTACTGTATCTTTTTTTCGCTTAGTTGATTTTGTCTGAGATGTTTAGTAAAAATTAAGCACGCACCAAGTAATCGACTGTTTTCTGAATCCCTGCACAAGATTCTCCAGCACGAAGGGAAAGGGATTGTTCTTCTGGCAGTGCTGAACAATATTCTTTTCCAAACCTCTTAATCAAGGGGAGCAAGCAAGCAAGCCGGGAAGACTTCAGAATTATCAATCTGTCCTTTCTTTTCCCCTGCATACCCAAACGGACTGAAATGCAGCTGCTGTGTTGCTGCTGCTCTTGGTGTGGTTGGTTTTTTTTTTTTTTCCTACAACGCAGTTACAAAGGACCGACACGAGGAGCATCCTGCCTTATTGGAAAGCAATTCAGGATCATTCAGGAGAGTTTTAGGTTTAATGTGTTTCAGCGCGAGAGTTGCACGACCACAGCTTACCTCTGCGACTTCTCCACTTCAATATAGGCGCATTTTCTCGGGCAAAGGTACCGAGGCATATTATTATTATTATTATTATTATTATTATTATTATTATTATTATTATTATTATTACATCTTACATCCTCCGACGATACCTTAACAGTTCCTAGGTCCTTGGTTAGGACTCGAGCTGCTGAGCTATTAACCATCCTCAAAGGCTGTGAATCTCACTAAAGATTAACCAATAATGATGATGATGATAATAATAATAATAATAGTAATAATAATAATAATAATAAAAATGAATGAATGAATGAATGAATGAATAAATAAATAAATACCACGCAGTCGGAGGATCAAAGAGGATGGCAAGAGGCTTACTCCTTCTCCGTTCGCTCCTTCCTTTCTCCTCCTCCCAGAGAGGAGGAGACAGCTTACAGAAACGATCGCCTTGGAAAGAGCAACTGCAGGTAAGGGGAACAGGCTCTAGGCACTAAAAAAAAAGAAAAAACCGCCCACCGGCACCACCAGCTTTGGAAGCCACTAAGCTTGAGACACCCCGCGCCCCGCTTTGCCCTTCTGTCTCCCGACTGAAAACCGCGCCCGCGACCTGCTCCGGCAGCAACGCAGCCCCCTCCCGCCTCCACGTCTCCGCCAAGGAGAGCCTGCTTCAACCGATTTCGGGGATGGGGAATGGGGGGATCAGCCCTCCCGCGAGCCCCCGACTCCAGCGCCCGCCTCGCCAGACTTGCGCTCCCAGCGAAACTGCAACAGGAAGAAACTTGAAAGGGGATCCAGAAGCGACGTCGGGGCAAAGACGGAAAGCTCTTCGCCTTTAGAGAGAGACGATCCCCCCGGCAGCAGAAGCAACAGCTTGCCGCCCCCTTCCTTCCTTCAAAGTCGAAGGGAAAAGGGCCAAAGCAAAACTCCCGGCTTTTTTTTCTTTTCTGTTATTTGACTTTTTTTTTTCTTTTCTTTTTTTTTACCTGGTGGTTCCTCCCTTCCAGCCGAGACGTCACGGTGATAGCCGTGCCTTCTTCCCAGTCCGTTGCACACAGCAGCGTCCGTAGCCGGAGCTATTTATAGTCCGCAGCTTCCTTTCCAGCAGACTCCGGCCAAGCAACGGGGCAGGAAAAAAAAAAAAAAGTGGCCAGAGAAGCAGAGGCGGGAAATGGCGGGAGTCCCGCCCGAACGACCGGCTCTCCGATCCGATCCCCTCTCCCCGAGCGCCGGAGCCGCACGCGCCGCGAGGATAAGTTACCTGCCCCGCAGCTGCAGCTGCCGCTCGCTCGAGCCAGGGGCGCAAAAGCAAGGCGCGCGCTCTTCCCCTCGGCGCCGCCTCCACCCTCCCAAGTCTCCTCCCTTTCCCCCCCCCCACTCCCTCTCCTCCTTCCGACAATGTCACCGCAACCCGCCGGAGTCTCCCGAGCTCGGAAGGAGCGAAGGGGCCGAAGGCGCAGGCGCTTTAGAAGACGGGAAAGCGGGTGCGCCACGCTGCGCTGGGTTGGTTTTTTTTTTTTTCCCCCTCCTTTTCTCTCTCTCTCTCTCTCTCTCTCTCTCTCGTAGGCCCTGCAAAGCAGCTCTCTGAGGTGACCGTTGGTGCAAGAGCCGGAGAGGAGAGGAACAGGAAGAAGCGGAGGCTTGTCGTTCGCCTCCCGGTGCCCAGAGGGAGCTCCGCTCCTGCGTTTTTTTTTGGACCAGCAAAGACGGGATAGAGAAAATGCTTTTCACCGCCTCGGATTTTCCTATTTTCCTGGCGGTGTCCTAGGCGGCAAGCGTGTTTTTCTGAAATAGTAATGGCTAACCCCATGATGATCTGAATCAGTAACAGAGTTGGAAGAGACCTTGGAGGTCATCTAGTCCAACCCCCTGCTCACGCAGGAGGCCTGTACTAGATGCTGTATACTGACGTAGGGCGGCAGAAATCGAGGCGACTCAGGCTATCAGTAACTAAGCATTTTAATCATGTAACTCAAACGGGTAACAGTAACAATCTCGAACGGCTAACTGTAAGAGGAAGAAACAGTTCCTTCACGATCTGACAGCTCTTACATCCTCGAGCTGTCAGGATCTGAACCAATGAGCGATCACCTATTTCCCGCCATGATAGCGCCCTCATCTGTCGGCGGCAATTACGCATGCGCCAATCTGCCAGGACATAACACTAGGGATTCGAACCACCGACCTTTCTGATCGGACAAGCTCAGTGTCTTTAGCCACTGAGCCACCTAGTCAGATCTGATGGAAGTTTCCTGCCATGCAGCTCTATGTCCGCACCTGGTCAATGTTTTTTTTTTCCTGAACAACCTTTAGGAAACCTGAGATAAACGAAATAAAGTTTGTTTTTGGATAGATTTCTTTATGGTAATTTGCGTTGGGCATTCAGGTATTAGTGCCCGTTATGAATGTTCAGCCTGTGTTTTAGCTCTGTTTGAGTTTATTTACCTAACAAGGGCGATGAATTAGAAAGAAAGACTTAATAAGTGCCCTGGAGCAGTGGTCTCCAACCTTGGCAACTTTCAGCCTGGCGGACTTCAACTCCCAGAATTCCCCAGCCAGCGCTGGCTGGGGAATTCTGGGAGTTGAAGTCCGCCAGGCTTAAAGTTGCCAAGATTGGAAACCCCTGCCCTGGAGCACTTCAGACAGAGCAGGAAACTGTAGCTGTTGCTCATGAGAAAAAGCTGCAAAAAACCAGAAGGTTTCCACCTCTTTGATGCCTCTGAGGGAGAGACCAGGCATTTCTGAATCCCACTGTAGCCACGCTAAGTAGAACTAAGGAGCAATTTCCTGACAGAACAACAGCTCCAGGGGTGGGTTCTACTTATCTTTACTACCGGTTCGCAACGGGGCCGCGCACATGCGCAGAAACATTTTAATGACGTCGGGGTTGGTGGGTGGAGCCTCCCGCCGGGTTTACTCCCGGTTCTATAGAACTGGTGCGAACCGGGGGCAACCCACCACTGAACAGCTCGCTTCCAGAAGTTGTGGGTGCTCACTGGAGCTTTTTAAGAAGAGGTTGGACAACCATTTGTCTGAAATGGTATAGCTGAAATGCTTGTGCAGGGCGTTGACCAGAAGACCTCAAGGTCCCTTCCCTTTCAAAGAATCACAATAATATTTCCATCTTTCATATTCAGGCTAAAATGAATGTTCTCATATAAATGCCAAAGTAGATAGTCTATTTGCATATCAGCCTGTTTATCATACTTTTGTCTTGACTTAATTTTTCTGAATTCTAATATTTTGAGAGATACATTCGCCATTCCTTCATTTTTTAAATGCAGAATATTAAAATACTGTGTAATAAATCAAACATTTTTGCAGCCTTGTTTTTTTCACTTTTTCCAGATCTACAATATTCTTTTTAGATTCAATGCCTGAAATTGTTTTATAAACCTGATTAATGATTCTTTTTTTATCAACAATCTGACTAGATCCGAATTTCCAAAAGAAGAAATTACCAGTTTAGATTATAAACATGTGGCAAATGTATTCTTCTGGTGGCAATCTATATTATTTAAGTACTGGTTCACAGAAATTTTATGCAATATGCCCTTAGAGTCTCTGCTAATCTTTTCTCACAATGAACCGTAGCGTGTAAATTTCCCCCACAGATAAAAATCTGTAGTTTTCCAACATTTATTACCACAATCATGGCAGCTATAAAAATGTTTGGGCACCATGGGAAGAATCAGTACAAGAAAACAATGACTATTTTTTTTCATATAGTATGATTATCTATGCAAATGTATCATTGAGGACTATTGGTTCATATATGAATGTTTGTTGATGACAAGCCAACAGTCTTTAATATTCTGAAATAAGTAGTATATGAAGCTGAAGTGTTTGGGAAGACTATTACTGTAGCAAATAAGGAACAGAAATCAATTGTAAACTAGGTTAATATGCAAGCAATATTATAAAGATCTGTGAAAGAATACCACCATTTCTCAAGTAAATCTTGATGGGCACTCAGAAAGACGACTGTAGGGACATGCAATCACATACCCTAAGATGGAAATGCCGCTGCCTTAATTCTGATTTGCAGTGCCACAGACAAGCAATATAATTCTATTTATATACAGAATTATGGGCTTTATGGATTCTTGCGGTGTGATGCTGAAAGCTCAGAATTCTACCTAGAAATGGGAAGGAATATTTTCATTTTATTTGGAGTGCTCTAGCAACAAAAAAGAAAAGCACAGCATCACCAACATCTGTATTCTTTGGGAATCCTGAGTCTTTAAAGAAAAAGAATTTATCCTATGTTATGAGATAACTAATCCTCATAACAGTAAAGATATAGTAGACCAAATATTCAACATCTCACATATTTTTCATTCTGTTTATCAAAAAACTTGGAGAATGAATGAAAATTAGGCAGAAACATCTTCAACAGCTGCATAAAAATCAAGATTGTGATCCACAATTTGTACCAGACAAATTTAAAGCTGCTCACAACACAAAGTGGATCACAATCTTGATTTTTATGCAGCTGTTGAAGATGTTTCTGCGTAATCAGAAATGAATAGTGACCACCATAAATGTGAATATCTAATTTTTTAAGAGCTAAAACACCTGAATTGGTCTACTTGCATGAATGCATTTTTCATATACTGTATTTTGGATTACAATTTCAACCAGATACTCAAATGAGCCATACTAGCTGGAGCTGATGGGAACTGAAATCCTGGTTTTAGAACACTTGTGATTTCTTTCACATTCAAAATCTTTTCCAACCTACACTCTTTTGTACAATATTTATGCTGAGGTTGGAGAGTTACCGCAATAAAAAACAACAACCAAGCTTAATTTCTTGCCCTTTTTGAGTTCTATGAAGCCAAAAAGATTGAGAAAGCAGTGAGTGTGAGGGTTTTTTTTTTTAATGAAAAACCTATTTTTAACTGCAACTACAATCAAATGTAAGCAATTACTGCTTACAGAATTCTAGGTTAGATTACACAAAGATGTGATATTGACTGTACAAGAAATCATTGAAACAGATAATGAAACAAGTGCCTTATCTGCTTTATGCAATTGACAGCAGTTAATATATGACTAGAGAAATGTCCATTATTGTGATGGGTAAAGGTTAGAGAAGTGTTGTAAATTGCAGGGACACATTATATTTATGCCTAGCTTTATTAAATTCAGCTGGTCAGCTGAATTCAGATCAGGCTAAACAACATCTGTGAGCTTTATTCTCTTTAAAATGTCATTGCTTTACAGTTGCCAACTTTTTAATGGATACTGCTCCCTAGCTTTTAACAACAACTTAAAATGCAGATTTGATTTTGTATTCATTTGACCGAAATTTATTTTCAGATAAGCACATATAGCAATCCTGCTTCACCCCCATCCCCCTCACTTATGAATTTAGTAGTTCATAAACTATAATCCAGATGTGACAAAAAAAAAACCTTACAAATTGTTCTTGGTGAATGTGTGCATTTCTTTTACAATCATTAAATACGAAATACTGTCCTGCTACCAAATTTGTCTGATGGCTATAGTTGGATTACCATAAAACCATTTATGTTTGATGCAGATTACCATGACAAAAATATAATAAAATATGTCTTTGAATATCATGTTTCCTATTCTCCTGCATCCATTTCCTCAATCTAGAATCAGTCCTATTTTCTCCATGGTTGGGCAACCAGGTATCAGCCATATATGAAGGGGTGGGTTTACAACACTCCTATTTCCTACTCACTGATCATATAGCGGGGGATGATGGGGACTAAATTGAAAATCAGGAATAATAATAATAGGCTTCCTACCCCTATTGTAGACAAGTACCTTAACATGGAAAATTTCTCTGACTACAATCTCGGGAAAGGGATCGAAATAGAATGGTGACCATAATCATGTAATACCCATAAAAAATGGTGGCACTTCGTTTATATGGTTGTAGCCACCATCCTGACATTTTTTGATCCTCTCTTGCAGATGAGTCTTGACATAACCTATCACAATACAAAGGAGAGACATGTAAAATATATGCTCCATAATACATTCCATAACAATAACAGAACCAGGAGTGAAATCCAGCAGGTTCTGGAGAACCGGTAGGGGAATTTTGAGTTGTTCAGAGAACCAGCACATACCACCTCTTTCGGGCCCCAGAGTGGGGTGGGAATGGAGATTTTGCAATATCCTTCCCCCAGGAGTGGGGAGGAAATGGGGATTTTGCAGTATCCTTCCCCTGCCACGCCCACCAAACCATGCCCACAGAACCTGTAGTAAAAAAATTTGGGTTTCACCACTGAACAGAACCAACCAATTACATGTAGAAACTGAACAGATTATTATCATTTCATTTTCAATAGTATGACAGCTTGAATGTTGATCAGTTCTGCATTTGTAGCACATGGCTGTTCTTTTCTGGTCAGTGTTTCTTAAAGCCTAAGAACAGTAAATACTTCTAAGCAAAATCAGAATGTTGAAAAAGGTTTTGAGTGTTCCTACCGAGACACACAGCTTTCTATCAGTTCTATTATTGCTTGCAAGTGTATGACTAGCCTGTTCATTTATCTTAAACCTGGTATTTGTCTACCCATCTTAAGTAAATACTGGTACAGATATGAGGATATGTAAATAAATGCAGTTTTGCAAGAAGAGCTGGATAGGATCTGGCTGCAAATAATAATAGTAATAAACCAGTTTTTATCTTGATGAACAACCTAAAATTGTTAGAAAAATGTCCTCCATGAATAAACATCTATTTTGAATATGGCGGTTATCTATAATTTTAAATTACCGTCAACCCAGCATAGTATTATTTTAGGGCAGCATAGGGACACTGTAAACACTGTAAACATGTAAACACTAGGTTCCACTTAAATTTTAATATTTCAGAATTCCCTAGGTGAAATTTAGGGAATGTAAATGTATAAAAGAAAATATATCTTAGTCTATCAGGTTCTTCACCAACGTTCAAACTGTCCTCCTTAGAAGTCTACAGCTTGGCAGTATTGAAAAGGGTGCCAGAGCTGATCATCCTAGCTGGACCTATATTAATGGCTTGGCTGGACAGGGAAGGAAGGAAGGAAGGAAGGAAGGAAGGAAGGAAAGGAAGGAAGGAAATTTTTAAAAGGGAAATAATATGCATGAATTTATGTTTTTCAGCAAAGATAAAGGATTGTTCTCTGATACTTGCAAAATGCTTCTGAAAGTTACGATTTTTATACTATTCACACAACTTAAAAGGTGGTATTAATTTGGTCATCGGAATGCCTTGATTTTTTTTTTTATAATGGCCAAACAAAGCATCTTTGTTTGTTGCTACTTGTATAGCAAGCCTGTAGAGAAGAAAGGACCAAATTGATAAATTTTAAAATCCTTATGGATC